ACTTCCACTATCACCCTCAAGGTCAAAAGTCTGCTGGTTTTCACCAACGACAAGAAAATCTGTAAAGAAGCAAATGCCTTTCTCATCATTATACTCCAAAGCATACGCCATTATGGTCCCAGTAGTCAGGCCAGAACTTCTTCCAACTTTGACCACTTGCCTTCCAATGAGACTGTAAATTGGAGACTGCAAGTCTGTAATATGGACATCACCAATTTCACCAATGCCTTTCACAGATGTAGTTACATTGTTCATGTTGAAGTCTTCTGCAAATGGAATGAAGGCTCCATCTGCCCGGACAAATGTTTCTGCAGGGAAAACAAAAGATAGTGGGTTTGTGTGAGGATCAGAACTCAGGATCCAAAGGAAATCCAGTGCGCACAATATTTGTTGAGAACCAGGTGCAAACACCACAGAATGAGCCAAGCTACGGAGAATTAAAAAAATAAGGAGCAGGAAGAGAAAAATGAATCTGACTTCACAGAATCCCCATCTGAAAGCTATGTGGCAGCATCTGAAGCAAACCGAAAAACTGAAGTGTCGAACCATTCTGAACCATTGTCTTTGCTGCACGAACCAAGCCAACTCTCTCTGCTGAACCGCACCTGCTTCAGTCTTGAACCGGCTCACGCCTGTTCATCTTCTTCCTCTAATCAACACGTCCCAAACTCCGAACGGTGACTTTCGGAGATGTTTGGTGAATCCAAATGAAGAAATTTACACCAATTCATGTATATAAATAAGTGATTGTGGATCGAACCATGTATTCATGGAATTCAAGCAATAAAATACCACATTTCTGCATTTTCTCTCTCTAACAGTCTCTTTCTCTCTCTAACAGTTTTTTCTCTCTCTAAAACCAGTCTCTCTCTAAATCCTTCACATATCTATATTCTTTTTCTCTCTCTAAAGACTCTCCTCCCTCTCTCAAACTCTCTTTTCTCTCTTCCCCGACACTATCTCTCTCTCCCCAACTCCCTCTCTTCCCTCTTTCAAAAATCGTCTTTTTTCTTTTCTGAAATTTCCTTTCTGTCCTCTCTATTTCTTTAATTTCAGAATCTGCCTCAACCTTTCAAATTTCTCAAAAATAGCCACAAATATTTAAACTCCACATTTTTCCAAATTCTGGTTTTGGTGAATCACTCACGAGTCCACGGCAAGTCCTGACAATATTTTATTTATTATACAAGAGACAACTACTGAGAGAGAGTTCAAACTGAGACAAGAATATTTTCTCATTATTCATTTTAGACAACTAAAAGAAAAACGGGAGAGCAGATGATCTAGGTAAGTGTCTTTACATCTATGCCCATGTTGAGACACTAAATCTCTCAAACAAAGTTCGCTGCACCAAGGCTCCCTACTCCAATTCAGTGGTTACTTATGCAACACACGACTCTTCTTAAATTGACATAGTAGAAATTAAGTTGAAATAGTTGCTCCAAGTTAAAAACTGCTAAGTATCTTTTACCGTAAAGCTATTCATAAAAAAAAATGATATACTAGTTCTTTAAAAGGAAAAAATTTAGAAGAAAATGTCAGAGGCTAACATAAAGATGAGAGTATATCTTTTTGACCTTTTCTATAAGGGAAGAAGAATGCATCATTTTCGGAAGTTATCCAATCAAGATCGAAAAAAGAGAATACTTCTCCTTCAGGTGGTACTAATAATTGGCTAATTGTTCTCAACAGGGTTAACTTTCGTACAGTTCTCTGGACAAAATTTTACATTGTGAGCATGACATCCTAATCTTCATTAATGTCACTTTTAATTCAAACTTATTTTATTCCTACTCTATTCATAAATCCCATTTACTTGTATATGAAATCTAATCATAATGTTCATCATTCCTTCATACTTAATAACTTCCACTCTTATGTTAAATTTAGAATGATTGCTTTCTATTTTCACTTGTAAAAGTAGTGATCAAAAGATTACTAGTTTAAATACAACATAGAATTAGAATTTCTTTTTTGAAATAATAGAATTAGAATATTATTTTCGTTCAAATTTTCACCTCATCTCAATTATATTCATATTCACATTCTAAGGATTGGCATTTGAACCAAATGTGGTCTAGATTCTTTTCCACCATGTATATTAACAGCATTTCATCAGTTCACAAAGGGGTTTCTTCCTGAGGTTTATCATTTAATCCCAAGACTTAACAGCATTTCAAAACTTCCCAGTTGAGAAATAATCAATGAGCCAACATAACTTTAATTGGAAAAATTCATAGTGGTAAAAAAGAAGCAAAAATTGCCCCTAAAGAAGCAAAAATTGCTACTCACGTGATCTGAGTTCCCCCCCTTTTCTATTATATAAAACTATAACTGCAAGATACTACATACCAGTGCATGATATATAATTTAATAAAAAGCAAAGGAAGGTAAGTGCATGTGGATTGCAAAAATAGATCCTGGAATCAATAATCTTCTATAATGTGGAATTGGATTACCTGGGTTTGTTCCGGCAAAGATGCCATACCACAGGTCATCAGTGATAAATGATGTTGCCCTCTCCACTGCGCCCAGATAGACACCAGGTCCAAGGCTAGGGGGCAAGGGATGAAACATCTTCTGGCTTGGGTAATCCAAATCAACTGCAACATGACGATTTGTGAGGAAACCAACCTGTCGGTTTCCTGTTCTGCTTTTTACAATGGCACCCAAGGTTCCATATGTTTCTTGGCTAGCAACCTACATACAGTAAGAGCAAAAAGGGAGTCAACATGGCCGTCTAGAGATTGATTCTACAAGGAGCATGAAGAACACTAAAAAGAGTGTGAAAGTATTCCCCTAAAAAATTTATATACTAAAAAAGAAAATTAAGAAAGAAAAAAATATAAGGTCATCTTTATTAGTCATCCAATTAATTATGAATGGGATAAATGGCCAACTTCATACAATAAATTCAAGAGTTAAATAAACAAAATAATTCATACGTAGACAAATATTTACAAGGACCTATCAACCTTTCTGTTTCTAGAAAAACTTTCTATGACGAACCCACAAACGATTCTATAATTCAAATAACTTCAACAGTGCTTTCCCACCCAATCTAGAAGCAACATCACCTATATAAACATGACAGAGCCAACTTGCAGATGCTAAGAAAATGAAATTCCTTTTGGATTTTGACCTCCACCACTTCATATTATATAGGAATAAAGGTGCTCTTGGCTCGACATTCTTTGTTCTACTAGAACCCTCTTTTTGTTGGGTTGTAATGTAAAAAATAGTACAGGATGGAGCTCTTTGACCTAGCAATATCCACTCCCAAGAAGTATTTTTTGAGATTTCTTAGGTTTTTAATATCAAATTCTTTAGTTAAACTTTTTAGTCTGAGTATCTCCTCTGTGACATCCCCTTTAACTATTTTATAATCTACATATACGATGAGAATTACCTTTTTTCCTGAAGAATCATGCTTGATAAACATTGACTATATCCATATCTTTTGATTATCTTAGTAAATTTGTCGAACCATACTCTTAGAGATTGTTTGAGGTTATATAAGGATCTTTTGTTAGTGACTTGACTTTCAAAACCAGGTAGTATCTCCAAATAAATTTGTTCTTTTAGTTCTCTATTAAGAAAAACATTCTTCATATCTAGTTGGAATAATAACCGATCTAGATTAACAATTAGGAATATTAGAATCCAGACATTATTAAGCTTTACTAATGATGCAAATGTCTCCGAATAATCGATTTCATTAGATTGAGTGGAGCTTTTTCACTATTAATTGAATTTTGAACCTAATGATGCTACCATCAGCATTAAGTTTGACGGTGAACACCTATTTACAACCGATTGTGTGTTTTCATTGTGATAATTCTGTTATTTCATAGAACTTATCCTTTTCTAAGGCTTGGATTTACACTATGATTGTAATTTTTTTATTCGGTTACACTTAATGCTTCATGTATCGTCCTTGATATCTATATTTTATTAATATTGTCAATAAATGTCTGGTGAGTTGAAGACAGATTTTTGTATAAAAGAAAATTAAAAATTGGATAATCAGTATATGTTCTCTTTTGTTTTCTTAGACTAATAGGTCTATAATCATTATACAGATTATCGAAGAGAGAGATCTAAACTTGTATCATTTGAAGTATTCAATGATGTTGGATCTGGATCCACATTGGATTCATAACTCTTATAAGATGGCTATGACTCTTTTTCTTCTTGGTTCTAGTTCCTTCTGGTATAGACCCGAAGGTCAAGATTTTCAATGGGGTGAGTAGATTTAAATATAAGTGTCTCATTTCGATCTGCGTCTTATGGAGACTGAATAGATTTAATCTGGGAGAATGAAGATATTCATTAATAAAGTCCAAAAATTGGGATTCTTGTGTATTCTTCTTCCCCTTAATACAAATTTTGTAGCATAGTTGGTTTCACGAAAGAT